TGTAATTCAGTCCTAACTGTGCCACTAAGTGTCTCAAAGTCCAATTCTTTGCTGGTGCAAGTTGGCTGACAGATAAATTTATGCATCCTTGTGCCAGGGTTAACCTGGCTTAATATATTTTAGCATTACTTATGTGTTATGAATACTGGACTCTATTTTGTCAGAATATTTAAGACTAGATTCTTCGCTTATCCAAACATTTCATTGTGTTTGGCTAACCTTATGATGAATCTAAAAGTAGAGTTTCTCTGTCATGGCTTGCTATTTTATTTATTATAAAATAATAAATATTTGCTATTATTTGAGTCAGGTTAACTTCATGAGATTTTTAAAAGTATTTCTTTCATACTTTGCATACAGCTGTATTTAGTTGGTCATTTACAATGAATCTGTTATTATAATTTGATGGTTAAACTTTGTTTAAAAATATCCCTAGTGATCTACGATTAAAGGAAGTGACAGGAAGAATATCTATTTAAAAGGCAAAGCTCCTGCTACACATCCCTCCTCTGTCCACTTACTACTTTTCTTTCTTTTTAATACAAAAAAGGCTGACTGTTGAATAATACAAGTTCCCTTACGTTACAGCCTATGCTGCGTCTTACCCGCATTCAATCCCCATCAAGTTAATGCAGCGGTAGTAAAGTCTCCCAACACAAGATCAAGCCCAATGGAGCCTACTGGCATCATATCTCCAAGACTTATGGAGCAGAGGAAAGAAACTGCCTCCTACTTTTATATTAATGTTTGAATGCAAAAAAACTAAAGGAAACAAACACCAAAGCCCACCACGTAAATAGTGAGTATTTAACATTTGACCAAAATGGACTCAACAGCAAAGTCATGCCAGGTAGCTGAAGCAGGTCAGTCCTGGACAGCGGCTCAGTTCCTCAGCAGCTCTATGCTTGTGTTACAGGAGGAGACTCAGATGGATCAACCCTAGGCTTCCTTCTGGTGCTATCGTAAAACCTATACAAAAGACATGCAAATGTGGCATAAAAAGGTAACTTTCACTCTGCCCATGGCACGCCTCATGAGAGAACAGGAGTATGATTGATTTCTTCTGTGCTATACACAAGGAATTAATATTAGCAATGCTCAGTTTGCATTTGTGTCTCCAGAGAAGAACAAAGGTCTCATTTCAGCCTACCTGAGACCTTACACAAAGGAAACCTGCTGGGTTGGCTTCACCTGACCAGCAGTAAAGTGGGGAGCTGACGCTGGTGCTAAGCATTCTGAAATACATTATGCAAAAGCTATTAAATGTAGTCTGTTTTCAAACAGACTGGCTCTTAAAACTGTAATTTTCTTCAAAGGAAATTGCTTGGGTTTTCTTCACCTAAGCATCCACATGAATAGGTAAGCAGACCGAATGTTTGCTCACTGAAGAAAAAAATTCCACCTTGTTCTATTAATTAATAATAACCTGAACAGCAAAGGCCCAGTTGCATGAAATGCAACCACAGAATTTGCACGCTTTTGTGTACTTAAAATTGCTGCCTGAGCACATCAGTGTCAGGCACCACTGTTAAGCACAGGATTGCCTATTTCTCATGCATGAGTCTGGGATCTTGCTTACTATGTTTGCTCTTCCACCTTTAGATAGTATCTTTAAAGCTGGAAAGAAGATAGGAAATACTTGCAGGTGAGTAGTAGTATCAGGCCTTCTGCTTTCTATAGGTTATAGCTATTAGCATAAGCTTAACACAGGACACCCACCACAGTTTCAAGGGGTCCTTTAAACACTGCAAGGAAGCACACAGACAAATATGGCATTCTGGCATATCCTTTTAGTGGTAGCAATGCCCCTGCACTCTGACCTCCCTCAGCCTTGTCCCTACAATCATTCAGAAAATTTGAAGACCCAATTTATGGACCATTCAACAGCTTTGAAAATATTGTCCAAAAGTCCCATGAGGAACACCAGATGTTTAGCTGTTAGAGAGAAGTTTGTATTTTTGGTACACTACATGTGTATAGGTGTAGCCTCTGCCATGCTGCAAAAGCAAGTAAGAGTAAGCTCCAACTTTAACTTCCTTTCAGTAGATTCAGTCATCTGGGGCAAAACTCAGTTGCGGAGATGGCAACCATGTGGCACTTCTACGTTCCTCTCTCAAACTTTTAGCACAGGCCGAGAGTAATGCACAGATGGTCTGCTGGCCTCCAGCCAGGTGTCGACTTTCTGCTCTAGGAAGGTACAAGCGAGATCACCGTGATCCAGCTCTCTGGCTCCCTGTGGACACTGGACCCCCTAAGATGCCCATCTGGTCCTGCTCTCCCTGGATGGATGTGAGAATGGCTGTTGGCGACGTGAGAGCTGCCCAAGCAGCCACAGAGCCCCTTGGGCACCCCACTCAGGGGCCAGCTGGGATTTGGCCAGTGGCTGCTCCCAT